TTTATTTTTATTTTAGTATATGAGTGTATTGCCTGCATGTATGTAAGTGTACCCTTGTCATGCAGTGCCCACAGAGGTCAGAAGACGATGTTGGATTCCCCTGGAACTGGAGTTAGGGATGGTGGTTAGCCACCATGTGGGTTCTGGGAATCAAACCCAGGTCCTCTGCAAGAGCATCCAGTGCTCTTAAGTGCTGAGCCATCTCTCCATTCCCACCTTTCTTCCTTTTTTAAAATTTATTTTTTAATTTTTATTTATTTACGTGTATGCCACATGTGTGCAGGTACCTGAGGAGGTACTGGACCCCCCTGGAGCTTCGGCTAGTTGTGAGATGCCTGATGTGCATGCTGGGAACCAAACTTTGGTCCTCTGGAGGAGTAACATGCACTTTAAAAAAAACTATTATTTTTTATGTGTATGCATGTATTGCCTGCATGTAGGTAAATGCACCTGTGTCGTGCAATGCCCGAGGACGTCAGAAGAGGCTATTGGATCTCCTGGGACTGGAGTTATGGACAGTTGTTAGCTGCCATGTGGGTGCTGGGATTTGAACCTGGGTCTTCTGCAAGAACAACCAGTGTTCTTAACTACTGAGCCATCTCTCCAGCCCTGTAGCATGTACTCTTAACTGCTGAGCCATATCTCCATTCCCTCCTACCCATAGGGTCTCATGTAGCCCAAATTGGCATCAAACTTGTTATACAGCTGAGGATGACCTTAAACTCCTGATCCTCCTGCCTCAACCTCCTGAGTCTGAGATCACAGGCATGCACCACCATACCCCATTTATCAGAGCTAGGGATTAAACCTTCGAGAATGCTAGGCATACACTCTACCAACTGACCTACACCCCCAGCCCTTGCTCATATTTCTGAGGCCTTTATGATGAGCTGGGCACTGTGTCAAGGGCTTTGGGTGCTATCTACGTCTCACCACAGCCCTATAAAATCAGAATTGTAAGTGTAGTGTAGCGATGAGCAAGCTGGGGCTCAGGTTCACTCTTAGCTTTAGATTCTCCTTCCACAAAGCAAGGCAGTTAAACTAAACCCATGTGTACCATATTTGCATTCTACCTACATAATTTTTATCATCAGGTCAGAGTTTCTAAATTAAATTGACTTGAGAAAGAAACGTCATAATGCAGTTCTAAGTTGCCTTGAACAGAACCGAACATATAAATACATTAAAAATGAACACCCCCCCACCCCCATTCAAACTTGCTATCTGTTCTAGTTAGCTTTCAATTGCTGTGGTAAAACACTGACCAAAATCACCTTGGGAAGGAAAGGGTTTATTTGGCTTACAGCACAGCCCATCATGAAGGGAAGCCAGGCAGGAACTTGGGGCAGGAATCTGGAGCACAGATCATGGAGAAACGCTGCTCACTGACTTGCTCCTCTAGCCTGTGTTCAGTCCGCTTTGTTCTACAACCCAGGACCACCTGCCTAGGGGTGGCACTGCCCACAGTGGGCTGGGTCCCCCCACATCACTCAACAATCAAGAAAATCCCCCACAGACATGGCCACAGGCCAGTCTAATGGAACAAATTCCTCAGTTGAGGGTCCCCCTACCCAAGTTAACAGCTGAAGCTATCTAGTGTATCATCAGAGGCAGGAAAACATTGAATTAAATGATTTGGGGGTTTTGTGGTGGTTTTTTCTCTCACTACGTAGCCTTGGCTTGCCTGGAAATCACTATGTAGACCAGGCTGGCCTTGAGGTCACAGAGATCTGCTTCCTGAATGCTGGGATTAAAAGCCGTGACACCCTGAATCAAGTGACTTCTAAGTACAGTCCTGTCTCTGGTTCTGTGAGCACGGGCCTCCCAGAGTCTGTGGAGGCTGATGGCTGGAGAGTACTGCTCCAGAGAGTACCAGCCACCAGCAGGCTGTCCCTGAAGTCCACTGGCAAGTGTGTCTGCCATGCTTGTAGGCCATGGCTGGGAAGGAGCCGCTGAAGCCTGTCCATCCTGCCAGCCAGGCCCAGGGAGTGGAGGATTCACCCCTGCGGTGGGAGGTTGCTCAGGCAGGAGGCTCCTTGGGAGGGGGACATGAAAGAGCTCCAGTCCAGATCCCCTTCCCTTTGCTCCCTTTCAGTTGCTAAGAAGACAGGGGAGCTGTCATGATGGTTCAGCACCAGGCCTGATGACCCGAGTTTGATCCTGAGACCTCCATGGTGGAAGGAAAGAGCTAATCCCACAAGGTGTCCTCTGACCTCCACAGGTATGCCTTGGCATGTGTGTACATACCATACACAAGCACAAACATATAACATAAGCATATTTAAAATTGTAATAAAAATATTATAAAAAGAAGGCATGATGGCAACTACTTCTGCTCAGTTCCTGGGGGTTCAGCATGTGGGCCTGCTAGCACATGTGTGAGAGAATGCGCACATATGTGTGTATGTGCATGTATGGGTGTCCATCAGGCAGCTAGATCTGTGTGAGTGTGACTGTATGAGTGAGTACTTGTGTGAAAGTGCACGTGTGAGAGTGTGCATATGTGAGTGTGTATAAGTGTGTGCACATGTATGTGTGCATGTGTATATGTGTGCACATGTGTGAATGTGTGCATGTGTATGTGTGCACACAGGTGTGAGTGTGTGTACATGTGTGTATGTGTGTGTACAGAGTGCCCAGCAGGCAGCTGAGTCTGTGTGAGTGTGTGTGTCTGTGTGCATGTATGTACGGGTCCAGCAGGTCTGTGGGTCTGTATGTGTGTGGGGAGATCCAGCAGGCATGTGGGTCTGTGTGTGAGTGCAAGTGGGGGTGTGCATGTGTGAATGTGTGTGCATGTGCATTCATGTATGAGTGTGTGCATTGTGTGTGCATTTGTGAGGGTGTGTGCATGAGGGTGTGCGCATGCACATGTGAATGTGCATCTGTGTGCATGTGTATGTGTGCGTGTGTTCGTGTGTGTATGTTTGTGAGTGTGCATGTATTTGTGCATGTTCACTTATGTATGTGAGTGTATGTACGTGCACGTGTGCATGCACATACATGTGTGTATGTGTGTGCGTGGTCTTTGGCACAGTAGCCTCACCTAATGTGGGATCTGTTCCAACACTGTGAGTTACTTTTCTCCATTCTGCAACAAATGACCCAACAACAATAGTCTAAAGCAGGAAGGGGTACCATCTATCTCGGAGGCCACGGCATCAGGAGCACCCACAGTCCCATCCCGGGGGTCATGGCGTCAGGAGTGTCCACAGTCCCATCCCGGGGGTCATGGCGTCAGGAGTGTCCACGGTCCCATCCCGGGGGTCATGGCGTCAGGAGTGTCCACAGTCCCATCCCAGGGGTCATGGCATGTCCACAGTCAGGAAGCAGAGAGAGATGTTCTCCGGTGCAGCTCGCTTTCTCCTTTTCATCTTGCCCAGGGCCCAGCCATGGAGCGATGCAGCACGTATCAGTGTGGATCGTCCCATCTCAATCAACGCAGCCTAGAGCACCTCACCAACTGCCCAGGGGCAGTTTCCAAGCTGAGTCCATATTCCAACGAGCTCAAGTCCAGATTAGCCATCATCACTCCACTTAATGCCCCGTGCCTCAGGCCCGTGTGGCATCCCTCAGGAAGCCCCTTACCCAGTGCTGCACCCCAGCCTTGGAGTTCCAGAACTGTGAGCTGAGCAGAACGTCACTGCTGCTGAGTGATCCAGTCTGTGGTATTCAGTGACGGCAGCAAAAATAGACAGCACTGTTCCTACCCCTTTCTCTATCTGCTCACGAAGCTCTGAGTCAGATGGAAATAGCAAGGGGGCCTGGAATGTGGCTCTCTGTGCCCCCATGGAGCCTCAGGCGCCCCTGCTGAGTTGTTGCCTCAGACAAGCCTGAAGCAGCTTAAGCCCTCAAGGTCGCCTTCTCCCCAGTCTTTTCGGCAATCACTGTCTTCTTAGAAATCCCACTCAAGACTCCAGGGTGCTCATTCTAGAAAAACGTTACCTTGCATGCAGCCCAAGATGGATCCAGGGGCCCCTTTCTTCACTCCCGGGTCTTGCAGACCTCTACCGAGTTCCTGGTACTCAGGCCCTGGGTCAGCTTTGGGGGACACAGAGTGAATGAATCAAAGTCATAGACCTCAGGGTGTTCACCATCTGGGTAGCCTTTCTGACCCACACAGAATTGTGTCATCTTTGCAGATGCACGCTGGGTTAAGGGCTCCACAGGGGTTATCTTGATTGATTCTTGCTGTCTGGTGTGGGGAGTGTTGTTACTACCCCTCAGCTAAGGCCTGATCCATCTTCTTCAGTGGGGCCGGCATCACGTGACAGGGCCCGGAAGCGGCTGTCCGAGCGGCTGGAAAGGATGGCCGGGTGTCGCCTTTGAGGCTGGTGTCATCACGGGCTACCCACGAACGACTTTGGCCTCAGAAGCTGTAAGACCATCATGCAGGCTCTGAGTGTATTGCCTCACTGCATTTGAGTGAACTCGTGTTGTGCAATGCCCGCAGAAGCCAGAAGAAGGTGTCGGATCCCCTGGAACTGGAGTTATGGGCAGTCGGTAGCTGCCATGTGGGTGCTGGGATTCGAATCTGGGTCTTCTGCAAGAACACCCAGTGCTCTTGACCGCTGAGCCATCTCTCCAGCCCCAGTAGCATGATGTTACTAAATGGGAATGGAAGTGAGGTGTTTGGGCAGCACTGCCCTGTGTTGCATGGCACACCGCTTTGTTCTGAACACGCACATATATGCCAGGCAGGTGCTCTGTCACCGAGCTACAGCCCCAGTCCTGGTAACTTTAAATACTTTGCAACATGCCTCTATATTGCCCAGGCTGGCCTTGAGCTCACTCTGTAGCCCAGACAGGACTCGAACTTTCCTGCTTCTGCCTCGGCCTCCCGAGTGCTGGGATTACAGTGCTGGGCCACAAGGCTGGGTGCTTTCTTTCGGATCTCCGTCCCCTTAGCTCTGGTGGTCCCCAGGGAGAGGCCGTTGCCGCAGTGGCCGCAGGAGGCCGTCAGGTGGTGCCGGGGAGCTCAGGGCTGGAGGAGGCGCAGCAGAGCAGAGCGGCACGTGACCCGGGCTCCGGGCCGGCATCACGTGACAGGGCCCGGAAGCGGCTGTCCGGGCGGCTGGAAAGGATGGCCGGGGGTCGCCTTTGAGGCTGCGCGGGGTGGGCTGAGCCGGAGCCGGAGCCGGGCCGGGCCGGCCGAGCGGTGAGTCCCGCCGAGCGTGCCATGCGGTGCAGTCCCGGGTCACCCCCTGCCGCAGCGCCAGGTACTGGGCGCAGCAGCTCCCGCTGAGCAGATACCGCAGGTCGGGGCCGGCGCCCGGGGCTGGGCTGGGCTGGGGGGACCCGCTCGGTCCCCGGCGGGGATGCGGGCGTCCCTCCAGCACCAGGCCCCGGGTTCCCCGGCCTCGCGGGGTGCGGTGTCCCCGGTGACAGCTGTGCGCCCTGCGGTCCTGCATGGAGAGGAGCGCGCGGACGAGCCGCTGTGCCCACGCGTCGGTGCGCCGCCTTGGTGGCCAGCCTGCAAGCCCTGCTCGGACCACAGGGGAAACTGAGGCCCAGGGTTGCGTGGGTGTCGTGGGTCCCTCTGGGACGAGGTCTCAGCCCCGGCAGCTTCCATCTGCACCGCCTCCTGCGGCGACCTGGACCCACTTGTCCCCCTCTGGGTCATGGCTTACTTAGCTCGGCCTCCATTCTCCACCCCCGGCTCGGGTTGTTGGCTCTGGGTGTGGTTCCGTTCGCGCTTGTTGGTTTTTTTTTTTTTTTTTTTTTTTTCCTGCAAACTCATCATTCTGTAGGCTTCGTTTCTAACCGTCCTGTAGTTTTGTGGAAGTGACATGAAAATGTAAAATAGGAATTGAAGTGGCCTCAGGAGAGTTAGGCGGATTGGGGTTGGGGGTGGGGGGCTCCGGGAGTGGAGAAGCTCTGACCAGAACTTGAAGACTGGAAAGACTGCCCCCCCCCTCCCCGCTCCCTGGCGGATTAGGGCGAGATAGGATGCTTTTTGAGGCTTGTTGAAACAGGATAGCAACATTGTGTTTGGGTTTCTCCACCGCACAGGAGGGTGGATTGAGTCCCCAAGCTCCCTTCTCCTCTGAAGGACCCTCTCTCCATCTAAGCTAGGCGAGGCCTTTTTATTTATTTATTTATTCAGAGAGATTTTTTTTTTCTTCTGACTCGTCTGGATGCTAATTTACCTGTAAGGAACAGGACCATTTAAACTTTTTTTTAAAAAAAATTTATTTTTATTTTATATGTATGCGTGTATTGCCTCCATGTAGGTAAGTAAGTACACCCGTGTCGTGCAATGCCAGAGGAGGTCAGAAGAGGCTGTCGGATCCCCAGGGACTGGAGTTACCGACAGTTGTTAGCTGCCATGTGGGTGCTGGATTCGAACCCGGGTCTTCTGCAAGAACAGTCAGTGTTCTTAACCGCTGAGCCATCTCTCCAGCCCCAACAGAACCATTTAATGTGTTTTTTGTTTCTGTTTTGAGTGCTAGAGATGGACCTAGGGCCTCAGGGTTAGGCAGGCGGTGTTCTGCTGAGCTGCTTCCCGACTCTTAGCTTGTACACACAGACCGTGTTTCTTATTTCTTTTTTGTCTTTTTGAGACGGGGTTTCCCTGTAGCCCCAGCTGGCCTGGAACTCACAGAGATCTGCCTGCCTGTGCATCTGCCTCCCGAGTGCTGGGATTAAAGGCGTGTGCCTCGACACCGGGCCACACCAGGTTTCTTTAAAAATGTTCTTGAGGTTGAAGCTCTTAGTTTTCACTAGCTCTTAGCTCATGACTTTGACTTTGAGGTAGTATGTCTAGGGTGGGAGCTGTCAGTGACAGAGCCTGCCCTGCTGATGTAGGTGATTGCTACTCTGTTTTTTTATAGACTTTTCTCTTTAAACCCTGTTCATTCAGCCTCACCTGTAGCAGCCAAGGTGCCCAGCAGTCTGTCTGTCCAGAAGGCTGAATGAGGGACAGAAGGGATTCCAGAGACTACGGTTAAGCTCAGTTGATGGGTGTGTAGTAGGGAACTGGGTTTTGAGTGAGTGGCATCAGAAGTTTCAAAGGACAAGTGTCTCCTACATTGAACACCACACAGAGCGCCGTGTCACCATAGGCGATTGCCACTGGGTAATTACTTACCTTGGAGGACATTGTAGGTGAAATTACTGGACTGGCAGTTGACCTAAATACAGTTGTAAGTTTTCTTCCTGTGGTGGGCATGTTAGCAATGCCACCTGCCTGTGTGCTTGTGCACATGTGTGTACCTGCATGTGAAGGCCAGAGCACAGTCTCAGGTTATTCCTCTGGAACTGTCCACCTTCTCGAATGGGCTTGGCGCTTGCTGATTGGCCAGGCTGACTGGCCTGCGAGCCCCAGGGGTTCTTCTTCCCCCTCCCTACACTGGGATGATGAGCACAGCACTGTGCTGCTGTTTACTTGCATTCTGGGACTGAACTCAGGTCGTTTACTGAGCCATCTCCCGGCCCATTTTCTTCTTTTTTCCTTCTACTTCCAAAGGTCTCTGCCTTTCAGTACTTCCTAACTCCTCAAGGGCTAGACGCTGAAGTTGAATTGTGTTAATGACTCTGACTTGAAGTCAGACCCTCTCCTGGGCTGGGAGAATGGGTTTCTGTCTCACTGGCCTGTTTTCTGCTTGCTAACCCTTTCTAGAAGGAGGTTACTGATGAATACCACCAACACCTGGAACAGCTTTTTTTTTCCTCCTGTAGAGGCTATTTATATTGAGTGTTTTTGGCCATAACCCAGGCCTTGGGGGATCCCACATCTCTTGCTTTGGCCAGGCACAGAAAGCTGGCCTCTTGCTTCAGGGATGGGGCATGCAAGGTGTACAGAATCGAAGCCAGAGGATGCCACGTCTGGTGCCATCCCCAGCCTGTTTCTCTTGGGAACCTGGCCCATGGCCAGGTCTCAGTAACCTGCAGGAAGGATTGTACTGCTGCTTTGAACTTGGGATTCTGAGGCTCAAGGCACTTGGACCTCCAGTTCCCAGCTAGGGAAGGCTCAGTGGTTTAGAGCATTAACTGGGGACAGCACTGCAAAGTTTCTGTAGCGAACCCTGTCATGCCTGGCCAGCATGTCTCCATGGTAACAATAACCATGGCTGCTGTTAATGAAGGTCCACTGTGTGCCAGGCAACGCACCTAACATTTATCTTATCTTCATAACAATATTGCAACTCGGGTGTACTAAGGCCATCTCTGAGATGGAGGTCCAGCAAAGGTGGAGTGACTGGGCTGGGCTTGCACGCCTGATGGCCTGATGGTGACGTTTGTTATGCCGAACACCCCCTGCAGACCTAATTCTGCCCCAGGTGTTGAGGCCTGATTGGTGCTGGACATTTTAGAGAGGATAACTTGGAATGGTGTGGTAGAAGGAACTTGTGTGTGGGACTTTGGTTTGCTGGATTCTAATCTTAGATCTTTTCGTACCTGAGGGCTTAGGTGGGTGCAATCTGTGCATACATCTGGTTTTCTTGCCTCTAGAGGGGAAGCTGGAGTGGGCTTTGCAGTCACGCCTGGTGTCAGTGGTCTTAGGAGTGTAGGTAAAAAGTGAACAAGCTTGCCTGCTTAGCAGCTACCCTGCACAGAGTCTGCTGACGCCAGTAGCTGTCCCAGGGCGTCCCTACCACGAGACTCCATCAGACAGGAGGCTTGGTTGCAGAATACACTCTGGGGGTTCGGTGGGATGCAGTCTGATGTTGCTTCTAATATGATTCGTGTAGATGTCATCCATTTTCACATCCCTCCCTGAAGACCGCACAGAGTAACCCAGTCTGTGTCCTCGCTGATGACTTTAGAATCCCAGCACTGGAGGAGAGAATGTGTTGCTTGCTGTGGGTTCCAGAGTCCAGGTTGTGAAATTGTCATTAGTGCCAGAACATTGTAAGATTACATAGTTTGGCTTTTTAAATGTGTTCTTTTTCTTTTATGTATTTGAGTGCCTTGCTTACATGTATGTGCACATATGCATGCAGTACCTGCAGAAGAGGGTGTCAGATCCCCTGGAACTAGAGTTATGGGTGATTGTTAGCCGCCGTGTGTGTTGGGAATTGAACGCAGGTCCTCTGCAAGAGCAGCCAGTGCTCTTTACTACGGAGCCGTCTCTCCAGCCCCAGATGACATAATTTTGAAGTACTGTATATAACTCGGCCGCCTAGGGAGCTGGTTAAGTGTGGTGGCACACACCAGTGTGTCCAGCACTTGGGAGGCTGACACAGGAGGACTGAGAGTTTGAGGCCAGCCTGGGCTACAGAGAGAGGAGAGCCTGACTCCCACAGAAAGAAAAAGAAAAGCAAAGATACCTGTATTTGGCAAACAAGTAGATTCAGTAGCTGAGAACGCTGATTCTCTCAGGGTTGATTTATAAATTTAATGTCATAACAATAAAAATTGGCGGGTTTTCTTTTTCTTTACTTTTCTATGCTTAATCTTAGCTAAAAGGCCAAGAATGATTTTTTTTACTTTAATATTTAACCCAGTATATTCCAAGATATTATTACTGTAACATGTATTCAACACAAAATTACAAATTCGTGAGCTCGTTCACAGTGTTTTATACCAATGTGGACACGTTTCAGTTGTGACCAGAGTTTGTTTCTGAGACTACGTCTCATTCTGCAGCCCAGTCCAGTCTTTACCTTATAGCAGTTCTCCTGCCTCAGCCTCCAGAGTGGCCACTGTTGGGTGAACAGCATTATAGTATCCTGTCCCTTGAGTCTTTGCCTTTATTTCCAATAAACGAGTCATGGAAATTGAAATTGGAATCCAATCCCAGGTCCTCCAGTGCAGGCCTCTCAACTCTCCACAAAAGTATTAAGCTGTGCTGGGATCAGACCCCGGGACACTGAGGGGTGGCTGTGTTCTTCCTGGCCCTGGAGTACCAGACTGTTTGTGAATAGAAACAGTATTCGAAGTTAAACAAAACAAAACCTGTTTTTACCTTGAAAAGAAAAGAAAAGAAACCACTGTGGGTTGGGGAGATGGCTCAGTGGGTAAGATCACATGCCACACAAGCAAGGACCCAAGTTCGAAAAGCAGAGTGTGGCTGACGCGTGCCTGTAAGTCCAGCACAGGGGTCAGGAGGACAGAGACGGCTCCCTTGGTTTGCTGGCTGTCAGCATAACTCCAGGCTCAGGGAGACTCCGTCTCTAGGGAATGAGGCAAAGTGATTAGACACCCACTGTGTAT